CACTGTGGGGAAATGTGAGATCCACGAATGGCTGATCATCCTCCCATTCTGAAGGAAAAGAAAAATCCCAATGGTCAGAATTGTTGCAGAAATGTTTATAAGAATCTAAATGTATGAAAGTATGAAAGACAAATACCTTCATATACCCTCAAACATTCTGAGTCTGTCAATTCATTCTAGTAAAAGAAAACAATCAATCAAACAAGCAAGCAAGCAGACAAGAATGTTATAAAACTCCATTTTGCATCTAAGTGTTTCAAAAATTAGCCATAAAACTACTTACAATAGTAGCTTCCATTCTGAAAAGGGTCTTCTTAGCAGATCAAATGGCTCCGGAGGTATGGATATGCCAGAAACCAGCAAACATGACTGGACCAGTATGGACCCTGCTTTTATACACGCTGGCGATGTCACAAATTAATCACATCAGAGGAGATGTGTTCTTCACACCTTTTGCAAAACTGGCCACCCTTAACTACCCAGGAAGCTGCATTTGAATAGTAGGTGATGTTACAAATTAATCACATCAGAATTGGTGAGTTCTTCACAACTTTTGCAAAAATGGCCACCCTTAACTACCCAGGAAGCTGCATTTGAATAGTAGGTGATGTTATAAATTAATCACATCAGAGTTGGTGAGTTCTTCACAACTTTTGCAAAACTGGCCACCCTTAACTACCTAGGAAGCTGCATTTGAACAGTAGGTGATGTTACAAATTAATCACATCAGAGTTGGTGAGTTCTTTACAACTTTTGCAAAACTGGCCAGCCCCACCTCATCAGGAAAACCCGATTGAATGAGCATCTGCCAAGGTTAAACAGGGGTCAGCAAAAGAAAAAAACGTAATACATCGTTCATGTGATTTGTAAAGCACATTTTATTATAAATTTCATAGTGTTAACAGTTTCTTGTAATTAATTTCTGTTACATTCTGGCATATGAACCTCTTCAGAGACAATGGCAATTCAGCTTCAATCTTTGACATTAATGACAGTGGTTTACTGTTCTTCTCGATATGCTGTATGAATGTCTTGAGCTCACCAAGGGAATCCCGGGTGAAATATAAGTAATTCATTTTGTCAGAAATACTGATGATGATCCAGAGAACATGAAGCATAGAAAGTCTAAAGCATAAGTTATTAATAAGCTCTGTTTCACTGGTAGTATCCACATGATCTTCATTTGATTGTAGACATCCCATTAAACAATGGTGTAATATTTTAATGATACACGCTTTCAGAATCTGAGGCATGCTGACATTTTGAGACTCCACTGTTTCTAAAGCAGGAAATAAGGTAGATTTAGGCTAGCTGTTTCAACTAATCAAAATATTGTTTTCTTAATTTTTTTTATATTTACTTACCATTTGATGCTTTGCAGAACCTGCAATAACAAGGCTTTATAAGTTCGTTCTCTTCAATGAAGCCATATAGCTCAGGTCCTTTTCTTATTCTATGCCCATGCTTGGGAGGTTTGAGGATCAAATTTACATCAAACAAATCTCCATCAGTATTTGCCATCTTCAAAAGACTGCTGGAATTAAATTGCTAGCTGTTCAGGCCTGCCCGCACAAACTCGCCTGCCCTTGCAATGACACGTCCTCGAGCCTTGCGCATGCCCAGAATCACGGGGGGTATGACATGCCCGGGCATGTCCCAAACAAGGCCTAACCCCCTTTTTTACTAGTAGATACAAACATGCATGCCCGGAATCGCGGTCCTGATATGCCTGAACAAGGCTTAACCCCTACTTGCCGCCTGGCTGCTTGCCTCTTGTGAGCATTTTAATTCCTGTTAATATTCCTTGTCTTTTGCTGCAGGGGGGATGTCAGAATAAAACATTACGTGTACATGAGGATTTCAGGGTGCAATTGGCAAAATATGTGTCTTTAGATTTTTACAAAGGTAAAAACCAGCTGCAGGGTTTTAAAAGGACTGTGGTTTGGTTTTTTCCCCCTGCATTCGAGGAAATTATTTTAAAACTGCCTAGAAATAAATACCTTTTAGAAAAAAGGGGTTTAAATGCAGGCTCTGGCTGCCATTTAGGGGCTCCTTTTTCCCAGCTTTTGAGGCACTGATTTTTAAAACTCCACAAAAATTAAAAGCATCATTAGGCTAGAATGATTAGAAATAAAAAGCATTTTTTATTTTTTTTTATTTCACAGCTCCCCAAAGTAGGGCTTCTTTCCCAAAAACACAGGCCTCTATTAATTATTCACTTTACTTAGCTTTTTTTGGTTTTGAATGTCCATAGAATTAGTCTAGGGTTAAGCTAATCATGTACCCAGAGGATTGACTGCCACATCTTTCTTGACGGGGTTAGGTTCAACACGCCTTATCTGAAAATAGGGCTGCTATGGCTACTCATGCTTATCTTGATGGGCTTAGGCCAACACGTCAGTTCCGCTTAGGGCCATGACCTGGTGACGTAATCAACACGTGGGTTTGTTTACTTTGATGACGTCACTGATCAAAAGTGCTGATAATTTTCATTAAAAAAGGTATACACTACTTCTAGTAACATGTAAAAAATAAGAAAAGGAAATGATTGGTTCATTAATGAAAGAACATAACAAGAAGGTGACAAGGAGCAGGGAGAAAGCAGAACTGCTTAACTCATTTTGGGCATCTGTCTTTATACAAAAGGAAAAAAACAGTCCAACCTATCAAAAAAAAAAAACAACCTGTAAAATGCAGATTGGGAATGCAAGTCAAAGTAAGCAAGAAAATGGTAACAGAACACTTATCTATCCTAGATGAGTTCAAATCACCAGAAGCAGATGGATTATATCCCAAGGTTCTGAAGGAATTGACAGACATGATTTCAGAACCACTGAATCATATCTTTCAAAGATGCTGGAGCACCGGGGAACTACCAAATGACTGGAAAAGGGCTAATGTAATTCCCATCTTCAAAAAGGGGGGAAATGATCCAGGAAACTACAGACCTATCAGCCTGATGTCAATATTTGGGGAGATTCTAGAAAAGATAATCAAGCTATGAATCTGTGAACACCTAGAGGCAAACAAAGTTATAACCAGAAGCCAACATAGATTTTTAAAAACAGATTATTCCAAATCTTATTGCATTCTTTGACAAAGTGACAACATTAGTGGACTAGCAATATTCTATGGATATAATTTACTTGCATTTCAGTAAGGCATTTGATAAAATAGATCACAACCTACTACTTGATAAAATATGGGCTAGACAGCATCACCATCAGATGGATTTGTAACTGGCTGACAAAATGCACTAAACATGTAGTCCTTAATGGAACTGCATCTACATGGAGGGGGGTATGCAGTGGGGTGCCCTAAGTCTCTGTCTTAGGCTCAGTATTCAATATCTTCATCAATGTTTTAGATGAGGGGATAGAAGTGGAATTCACCCAATTTGCAGACACCAAGCTGGTAGCCAACATTCCAGAAGATAGACTCAAAATACAGAAGGAACTTGACCGACTTGAACATTAGGCCCTATCTAACAGAATGAAATTCAATAGTGAGAAAAGTAAGGTTTTACACTTAGGCAAGAAAAACCAAATGCAAAGGTATAGAATAGGTGGTGCTTGGCTAAATAATAGTAACTGCAAGAGGGATCTTCAAGTCCTAGTGGACAATCACTTAAATATAAGCCAGCAGTGTTCTTTAGCTGCCAAAAAAGCAACCCAGTTCTAGGCTGCATTAACAGATGGATAGAATCAAGATCACATGAAGTATTAGTACCATTTTGTAATGCATTGGTAAGACTACACTTGGAATATTACATCCAGTTTTGTTTGCCATGTTATAAAAAAATTGTTGAGACTCTGGAAAGAGTGCAGAGAAGAGCAACAAAGATGATTAGGGAACTGGAGGCTAAAACATGAAGAATGGTTGCAGGGATTTGGTATGTCTAACATAATGAAAAAAGGGGGGTCATGATAGCAGAGTTTCAATATCTAAGGGGCTGCCACAAGAAGGGGAGGTCAATCTATTCTCCAAAGCTCCTGAAGGCAAGACAAAAAGCAGTGGATGGAAACTAATCAAGGAGAGAACCAATCTAGAATAAAGGAGAAATTTCCTGACACTTAGAACAATCAATCAGTAGAACTATTTGCCTCCAGAAGTTATAAGTGCTCCAATAGTGGAGGTTTTTAAGAAAAAAAATGGACAACCACTTGTCTGACATGCTTGAGCAGGGGGTTGGACTAAAAGACCTCCAAGTTCCCTTCCAACTCTGTTATTCTGTTATATCCTAATAGTTTAAATAGAAAATACAGAAGTACATACTTGACATGCTTAATAAAATTAATTTAGTGTAGAACCTATGTGTCAAAGATGATGGCTACATTTTTCTCCACCATTTTCTAGGAATAAGTCCCACTCTATTCAGTGAGTTTCTTTTTATTGTACACATACAATGGATTCCCACTGGACAATATAAAGAGCAAATACCAGGAGCCTATACTAGAAGCAAGGAACTGGATATCTAAAACTATGAATCCAACACCATTGTGAACCTGCAAACAAATCTCCAGCTCCCAGATTGTATCTGCCCAGCACATCTGGGTCAGGCTGCTAAAATGTAGCTGCAAAATGTTTGATACAAATTTTTCCTCCTTACTATCAAAAAAATTAAGGGTAAGCAAGTGTCTGGGAATTTGTTCAGAGCCAAGTGTCAGTAACCTTGGCATCAGAAATTAGCAATAGGAGTTTAGGATTTTTTTTCTTTTTCAACGGTTTAAGAGTAGAGTAGAAATGGTTCTTCTCCTGCTCCCATTTATACTTTTTAACACCGTGCAAAATATGACCCCAAAATTATTCAACCCTGTTTCTTCATCTTCTGCAGAGTTGGCTGTTCTATAGTTCTAGGAAACAAGTAAGAAAGAAAGGACACAATTAAGGTATTGAGTGCAATGCTTCAACTTCAGCTTACTTTCTAAAATTCCTAGTTATAGGACAGTTAAGATACTGAATAGAAATACTTTCCCAAATGTACTAAGATCATTTCTCACCTATTGATATGTTTCCAAATCCAAGAGTAATTAACCTTTCCTTGTGTTCATTAAGTTGATGCTTTGATTCAGCTAATATGCCATTTGTCCACAAAAGCAAATTTGTGAACACTGAATGAATTACTCCAAACCTAAAAAATAAATAATGCAAACACATTATATTATAGACATAATTTTCCAGTATGAAATCTTGATGATATAACAACACTACATGTTTTTATGTACCTAAATAAACACACTATACCAACATTGCTCTAACCCACAAATGCATTCCACTGAAAGAACAGGCTGGGGAAACTATGCTGAGCTGCTGTCTAGAGTCCAACACCTTCATCAGTAATGGGGGGACAGCTTCTGTCACTCTGAGGCAGCAGCTACTCTTTGTGCTTCTAGATCACCCTCTCTTCCAACAGAGAGAGAAGAACCAGCACTGATGAGCAACAAAGGCTTTTTCTCAGTCCTGCAAACCCATATTTCTTGCAGAACTTGTTTCCCTGTAAGTCAGACCCTTTCAGGTTCATAAATGAAAATGGAACATTAAATATAGCAAAGCTTTCCAAACTAACTCACCAGACAATCTATACTCCAATTGTCAGACCCTCATTTATTATATGCTTTTTCTTTCTATGTTTGGGTCTGCCATTCTGTTGGGAGGAGGGAGGAGGAGGCTGTGCTATTCTGCTGGGAGGGGGGAGGTTGCTATATGCTTTGATGCATTAGGGTGTAAACGGAAGAAGGAATGTGCCCTGGGCCATCTGTCTTGTCTCCATGCTGAGGGGAGGAGAGCGAGAAGCCGAGAGGAAACGGAAACCCTGAGAATGGTGCCTGGGAACTGCGCTTATCAATTTGATTATCATAACACCTTCACACCTGAGGATTGGATGAAATCAAACCAGACATTTGGCTGTTGGGCTGGGATCTGTAAGGGATGCTTTAACGTAACGTTTTGCATAGGAAAATACTAGATCTTGCTTTGCTTTCTTGTTGTCACTACCTCTCAATAAAAGTTCCTTTTGAGATAATGCCTGTCTCAAGAATTCTGTTTTCTTGGGAGGACTAGCTGAGGCAAGACCTTACACCAATACTATTTTTCAGTCTACCTTTGTCCTATATCATTAAATTAATAGAGTGCAGTGATCCTCAGTATGTCAAAGTTAAATTTTCATGAGAAAAGGATGGTTACTGGTGAGAAAAAGGTAGAGGAGGAAGAGCCACAACCAAGGCAACACTCAGATAACACATGTCTTAGTCCGCACCAGGAAAGTAAGTTGAGAAAACATCTCAGGTTTGACCCTCCCTAGTTCCCTTTAGGATAAAGAGGAGGTCATTCAGAGTTGCATGATTCAGATACAGTAACCCTATAATAAAAGTAGTTTCAGTATTCATGACTTTGGTGTTCATCTTTGGTCTACCTTGAAGGGCTGACATCACCTTACCCTGGCAATTACTGAACACAATTTAATACTATATAGACCAGGTCTATATTCATCCTCAAATGCAACCAATAATCTTTTTTTTTTTAAAAAAACCCTGCCATTTATATTTTATTTTATTAGTTTATTTGTTTTATTTTACTTATTTTCATGATTATATGGCTACCTATCCCTACAATAACTCTGTGGCTGACAACTGTCCATAAATCATAGTTAAAAACAAAGGTACCTCCCCAATATGGCAGCAGACCAGACATCCCCACAGCTCAACTCCCACTCTAGCCCTATGTTTGGGGGAAGAGCCCTTTCTTCACAGCCCTCCATAAAGCTAAAAGGGGCAGGATCCCCCCTGACTTCAAGTGAGGTGGGCTGTTCCAAAGGGCTGGGGCAATCACTAGAAAGGTACTTCACCAAGGTCCTACCAGATGGCAACAATTAAGGAAGGGGACCTAAAGTACACTCACCCTGTCTAACCTAGTAGAATGGGCAGGTATCCTCAGGGAGCAGTGAACCCACAAGGGTTCTATGTAGGGTTTTAAAGGTGATACGTAGAGTCTTGAAATGAACCTGGGAAGCAAAAGGAAGCCAGTGTAGTTCACATAGCAGTAGCGTTACTCAGGGCACCCAAAACTGAAACAGTTGCAGCTCCTGGATGTCTTCAAGGGAAGCCCCATTTACAGCATTGCAGTAATCCAAACAGGAGGTAACAGGTCACTGTGTGCAAGGCCTTGTGGTCCAGGAATGGGTGCAGTTGGCATACATTTGTGCAAAGACCTTATTGTCCACAGATGCTACCTGCTCTTCTAGCCGGACCCAGGAATCTAAGAGGACGTCCAAATTGTGCACCAGATCTTTAACGGGAGTGTTATTGTCAGATCTGCCATATTCAGCTTAACGCTTTACTGGCATCTACCATAAATTGTTAGGGGGCTGGAGGGAAGAAGAAATAGGCAATCGGCATGTAGAGAGTAGAAATGAGCCAAGAGGGAAGGGGTGGCACATTTGACAGAAGCCAGAGGTGTGAGAACCAGCTCGTTCCATTCTTAAAGGCCGTGGAGCCTGGGAAAGGAATACGAACTGCACCGAGTGGCATCAAACATCTGAGCAGTTCCCAAAACACCTATGCGGCACACCATTGGATGAAGACAAACCGGCCAAAGGGGAGAGGGTCAGGGAGAAGGGGAAAATCTATAACTGTTTGCATGGGAACTAGCCTGCTTTCACTTCAACTACTAATCTTTAATAAAAGAATCTATAACCTTTATCAAATGGAGTCAAGGGTCTTTCTTTCCTAGGGACCTACAGTAGTTCGGGCATGCCTGACAGTTACCCTATCCAGAGTTAGAGATATCAATTCTCCTGTTACTGGAGATGGGGACAGGGGAGACTAAGTTGCAGTTGATTTCTCACAACCTCCAGACACCGAGCCAGGATCTGAACAGCAGTATCTGCCCATACCGGGTACTAATGTATAATTAGCTATCATTAGCATATTTTTTTTTATTAAAATTTTTATTATTTTCATCATAAAAACATTACAAATATTCCACAATGCTATAATAGAAAAACCCCCATCCCCCACCCACCCACCCCCCGGACTTCCCAAACCTATCCCAGGATAGTATTCAAATATAAGTAAACAAATATTAACATCCCTAACCCCACAAAGTATACTATTCTACATGGGTAGGTAAAATATATTTAAAAAAAAGAAAAACAAGTTAACTAAAAACCTAAATTATATTCCATCACTCTATACTTCTTTTGAATATAAACAATCCATCTTCTCCATATTAGTAAAAATTGTTCATTTGAGTGGTTCTTCAAATAAGCCGAAATCTTTGCCATTTCAGCAAGATATGAAACTTTCAATCTCCAGTCTTCCATTGTAGGTAAGATTTTACTCTTCCAGTTTTGAGCTATCAACAAACGGGCAGCAGTTAAGCAA